GGTGATGGCCTATGACCGCTTTGTGGCCATCTGTAACCCACTGCTTTACTTGGTCACCATGTCCAAGGAACTCTGTGTGAAGCTGGTGTCTGGCTGCTACCTCTGTGGGACTGTGTGTTCTCTGATTCACTTGTGTTTAGCTCTTGAGATCACCTCTTACAGTTCAAATGTGATGAACCACTTCTTTTGCGATCTGCCCCCTCTCTTATCTCTTGCTTGCTCTGATGTCACTCTGAATGAACTGATGCTATACATTGTGGCCACTTTCAATGAGCTCATCACCATCGTGATCATCCTCACCTCCTACTTGTTTATTCTCATCACCATCCTGAGGATGCGCTCCGCGGAGGGGAGGCGCAAAGCCTTTTCCACCTGTGCCTCCCACCTCACAGCCATTCTTGTCTTCCACGGAACAATCCTTTTCATTTATTGCCGGCCCACTTCTGGCAACAGTGCCGATACAGACAAGGTGGCCACAGTGTTCTACACTGTGGTGATCCCCATGCTGAACCCCTTGATCTACAGCTTGAGGAACAAGGATGTGAAGGAGGCTCTAAGAAAGGTGTTGAGCTCCAGAATATTTTCGCAGAGAATGTTTTCTTAGCAATACTCGAGGTTCCAAAGTGGAGGCTGGTGGAGGGGCAAATGGGTGGGCTGCAGTGTTGGAGTGTAGAAAACAGCCAGGAGGTAGGTCTCTATGAGTGAGTCATTTTATTCCATTATCTTTGTGTCTCTGCAATTAACAAGGGTATGACTGAGCATATTTCGAGTGTGAAGCTTACCACTTTGCTTTTATTCAAGTGAAATGTTTTAATTGGGTATGGGTAATGGACTGTTAAGACTCAAAGGATTAGTTTCCTGTAAAACGTTCATAAGGTTAATAAGAACCTTTGAAAATCACACTTTCAGAATCTATTATGGAAACTATGATCCTTTTTAAAATTGAATTTCTGTTATTTTACGATGAGGAACAAATCATTATCAAACACTTTATACACAGAATGAGATTTCCATGTGTGTATTCATCTTGTTTATCTTTTGTTCTTTTATGTTCATTGGTTATTTCTTGTTTCAGTTATTTTTATTATTTTTGCTGTTATTATTGCTTTGCATTGTTGCCACTTTCCATGAGATTACCATCATGACCATCCTCACCTCCTAATTTTTTATTCTTGTCACCATCCTGAGGATGCACACTGCAGAGGGGATGTGCTAAGCCTTTTCCAGCTGTGCCTCCCACCTCACAGGCATCATTGACTCCCAGGGGACAATACTTTCATTTATTGCCAGCCCTGTTTAAATTTAGTAAATTAACGACAGGCTATGATATAGTCTCACATTAAAGAAACTTATAATTCCAGGGTGTTAGTAAATAGCATAAAATAGTTGGTGAGGAGAGACAGTGCAAAATCATTTGTAGATAGCAGAGGGATTGCTTCATAATTATGCTTTTTGAAAAAAAAATTGTCATGAAGGATTGGTAATTTTTAAAGAGCAACAGAAGAGAAATATGCAAATTTTATTCATAAGTAAAGAACATGAACAATGTTCAAGAGATGAGTATGCATAAATAAGTCAATGATTCAACGAATATTTTTGAGCTACTATTTCTACCATACGCTTACAAGGTACTCTGTTAGTTGCTCGAATAAATGAAAAATTGCATAAGATGTTTCTACTAGTCTAAATTATTTCAGAGAAAGTTTCAGTGTGGAGGATGAGAATATTGATAAGAGGTTCAGAAATATTAGCTTGTTTCTCAGAATAGTGAGAAAAAAAGCAAAGAAAATATATTTATAATCTGTTTTATGTTTCCAACTTATGTATACAGACATAATATCCTATCTGTGCAATCTTACTATTTTTTAACTTGTCGTTTTATCATAGTCACTTTTTAGGTCATTAAAAGTTCATCAG